TGGGCTTGGGACCCGCCACGTAAAAACTACTTCCAGTGAAGAAGCAATGCAAAGCCTCGGATGAGACCCCCCATTATGATGACGACCACGGCAAACGTTTAAAGGACTACGATTTGAGGGCATGCACCTGGAATGTCCGGACCCTTAATGGGGAAGGTGCCTCTGCCCGGCTGGTTGATGTCCTCGTAAGGACAAAAGCTGACATCACCGCCATCCAAGAAATGCGTTGGACGGGGCAAGGCAAGCAATGTCTGGGGCCTTGCGACGTCTACTACAGCTGCCATGTAAAGGAGCGCAAATGCGGTGTTGGATTTGTGGTGGGAGAGAGACTCCGTCGCCGAGTACTGTCGTTCACCCCGGTGGACGAGCGTGTAGCCACAATCCGCGTCAAAGCGAGATTCTTCAACATCTCGCTCATCTGCGTCCATGCCCCGACGGAAGAGAAGGATGAGGCATCCAAGGATATCTTCTATGAGCGCTTGGAGCGCACATACGAGCGCTGCCCCCGTCATGATATCAAAATCGTGCTTGGCGACTTCAATGCCAGGGTGGGCAAGGAAGGGATCTTTGGAACCACCGTCGGAAAATTCAGCCTCCACGACGAAACGTCCGACAACGGATTGAGGCTGATCGACTTCGCCGGGGCCCGAAACATGGTGGTATGTAGTACTAAGTTCAAGCATAAAAAGATCCATCAAGCTACGTGGCTGTCTCCGGATCGAAAACGAGAAACCAAATCGATCATGTTGTGATAGACGGAAGGCACGCTTCCAGTGTTTTAGACGTACGCACACTCCGAGGCCCAAACATCGACTCGGACCACTATCTTCTTGCAGCCAAGATACGCACCCGCCTCTGTGCAGCAAAAAATGTGCGCCCACATATGCAAGGAAAGCTTAACGTCGAAAAGCTGCAATCACAACAGACAGCCAGCGCTTTCGCTACTCGACTCTCACACCTGCTCTCAGAGAGCACTCTTCAACAAACCGACATATGCGAGCAGTGGAATACTCTTTTAGACCACTCGAAGGCATTTGACTCTGTCGACCATACATTACTTTGTTTGAAACTTGAAAACCTGTTTAACTTTTCTAACCCAGCTATCGATCTAATTAAATCATACCTCCTTGAAAGATCCCAGGCGGTAAGTGTGGATAGTTCCATGTCTAACCTACTGCCTGTAACCCAAGGTGTTCCGCAAGGATCTATACTTGGCCCTTTATTGTTCGTGTTACATATCAACGACCTACATAATGTTCTTAAACACAGCAACGTACATATATATGCAGATGACGTTCAAATCTATCTCAGTAGTACATTCGCCGCCACTGAAAACTGCATATGTAATCTGAACGCTGATTTGTGTCTCGTAAATGAATGGGCTAATGATAATGGATTAGTCTTGAACCCCAGAAAATCGCAGTGCCTTGCTATATACAAGAAAACTTTTGACCTTGACCACTACCCTAAAGTAACTCTAAACAAATCTGTGATTACATTTGTTGACACCGTCAAACACCTTGGTGTTATATTCAATAGAACACTGACGTGGAACAAGCATATTTTTACAACAATAGGCAAAGTATATGGAATGTTAAGAGTACTATGGACAACTCAACACTTCACACCTGTTGAAATAAGATTGTTATTAGCAAAGTTGTATTTGATGCCAGCTTTGCTCTACGGTTGCGAACTCATGCAAATTGTGACAGTGTTTGTAAAAAAAAAACTTAATGTTGTGTACAATAATATTGCACGTTATATTTACGACATCAACCGTTTTGAACACATTTCCGAATACGCTTTGAAGGTATGTACTATTTCATTAGATGGTTTGTTAAAGTTTAGGTGCTTAACACTCCTACATAGGATCTTGGTAAATAAGGAACCCATAATTCTCAATGAACGATTAAAACTTACACGATCAGTGCGCTCCACACAAATACTGC